ACATTAATGTTTTCAGTTTGCAGGAGATTTGCTCGACTGCTTATACTGATTATTTGCAAGCATGATTGTATCGCTAAACCATCAATTAGACTGACAAGGTTTTGAGATATTTACTGAATGAGCAACTGATAGAGAAACATACTGTAATCATCTGTGATGGATGAAGATACCAAGAAAACAACACCATTTAATGGTAATTACAAGTCAATTTGTTGACCGATTTCGCTAATAGTTTCATTAATTTTATCAGTCATATTACGTGATTGTCAAGTTATGACAATGCTTTATGACGATATCCTGAAACTATTAAATTTAACTAGTTATAGTGTTGATTGAGGATTAGTCAGTGGAAAAATAGTATTGTTGCTTTAGGTGATTCGAAATCATCAGAAACTTATAACGTTAAAGAATCCGAGACGCCTAATTTAATTATAAATTTCAATTCAGAAATATTCGTTTAGTGTTCATTCTAGTAGGCTACGGAGTTTTGATTTTAAACGTTTGTTTAGCCAACAGCTACCTGAGGATTTAGTTATTTTACTAGTGCAGTTGATAGTACCTAAATTTTTAATCTTATTATCTAAACTATGTTTGCATTTTAGGCTGCTAATATGATAAACCAATCCATAAACTCAAATATGATTAGCAACAACGACTATGATGGGTTTATTGATAAATGTTAAAGGCGATTCAGATGATTCCTAAATTTAGAAGACATGAAGATATTAAGTAACGTATGTATGGGCCAGGTTAACAAGCAGGTTGTTGACGTATATGACGATTTAAAAATAATGAAGATGACCAGAAAATAATTTCAAAGTTAAGACTGCTTGTGAAACTTCAGGCAGGAATATGACGCGTTATGAACCGCATTTAGCCTAGGGACACTTACAAATATATGGCAAGAGCAACTGGAAAACATATACATGTTAAGTATAAAAAAATCATTAAGTAAAATAACTGAACTCGCCTGGGTTATTTTTGAAAATTAGATTATTCAGTGTACGACATATATAACGCCATTCGTGAGTAGTAATGATCCAAAAGTATCCAGAATAAAACATGCAGTATGGCAATTAATTCCATGGTGCTTGATGCTGTTGACGTTTTTGCCACTCGCTCGGATCAGAACAACCGAATGAATCCAGATAACTGTGTGTGCCATTGAATGAGCCATCTAAAATGAACTTATGATTGCAGAAAACTTATAGCTGGAACTCACCGTCTGTTTTTGGAGAAGTGTCATCCTTGTTGTTTGGCAATGGAACTCGAGAATATGAAATTAGGCAGGCAGTGGTCGGAAGAAAAGATATTACAGGATAGTGCATAGTTTAAAACAGGATGAGGTGTTAAGCGAAGGAACACTAAGAATTAGATTTAGATAACTATTTAGTCCTTGATTGCATTGTTAGTCAATGTATATTTACGCTATTTACAGGTCATATTTGCTAGAGCTTGATGTTTAAACAAGTCTATGTCGCTGAAGCAGGTAAATGCTATTAAAGCTTGTTAACGAACCATCAAAGCTAATTAGTTGATATAGATGATCAACTTTTATTATCGATTGAGCTAGTAAGTTATGTGAACTAATAGATATAACATTACGATAATATATGTGACCATTAATCAAAGGACTATTAGAATACTGGGTTTACATAAATAAAAACCGATTGAGAAGGTTAAGGTGGAAATAAGGATTAACAATAATAGGTTACGTTTCTTTAGTTCGGCTCACCAATGTAGAATTATGGTCTACTATGATATTAGTACTGCTCTAATAATAGACCTAATCCTAAATTTGTAGATTCGTCATGATATAACTGCCTAATCTATAAGATCTTACGTGGAAGTCACACCATCGACTACACCAACTCACTGTATCGTATCAATTACCAATACATGATGAGGAACAAGGTTAGGCTAGAGAAAGAACAATATATTTAATATGAATAGAAGATATAAAGTAACATTGAGATGGACCACGCCTGCATGGACGAGCCATGCCACTCGATCAACTCCAGACCATTCAATTCATTGTTCGCGCCTTCTCCATTGTTAGGTATTTATCCGCGTTAAATATTGAATATCTATTTTCTGAGTAGTCTCGTGTTAACAGCTTTGTGGATTGTGTGGCTATTGTCCAATGCTACTACAGTCCAATGCCACTACAAGCTGACCATAACTCTGTTACTAGGATGTTCACCAGTAGGTAGCTCTCTAAACTAGATAGCTTTGCAAGCATTCGATATTGATTGTTACCTCATTAGTTTAAACAGGCTTTTCGGAGTAAGAGACTACTGTTGAAATTCTTCATCTGATTGCAGCGGATCTAATGCGAGATATCTTTCGGTTGTTCTCCATACAGCACAGATGTTTCATAGTCCTTTGCCTCTGGCTAAAATGAGATATACGTTTTCCTTTACTAATATCACCTCCTTTGTTCGGCTTCTGGTGAACCTTTTCGGCTACCCCTATATCAAACCTCATTGCTTCAGCCGATGTGGTATCTGGTCATGCTTCTTTGTGATTCTTGATTTGCAAGATGGTCTTACGGATTTAGATTATTAGTGACGTATCATCCATAGGGTAGTCCGTGTGTGCTTCTTCGAGTTCCGTTAGGTTCACTGACGCCGGTTTATTCCAAAGCCCTTTCGAGTGTCCTACCCACTTTTCACGCTGCTCTCGAACTTCCTCGACTGACCTACGTTCTCTTCCCTTGCAGGGTAGCTCGGATTTGCCATACTTCTGTGCTAGCTTCATAATTGCATCATATGGCTCGCATATATTTTCCGGCTTTTTCCGCTATCGTTGCTAAGTTTTCCACATATTTCCACTCAAGGTTTTGATGCTCTTCTCCTCATAGTTGCCTGCTTCTGCAAACTCGGCCTGTCTAAGCATTCTTTGCTTTGTTTGAATACTGTCGACTTATGCTTTCTTAAACCCCCTTTCTTGAATCCTACCCATACCGTTTACAAAGATCTATTTTTTTGTATTAGTGCCTCTTGCACTCCATCACTTTCTGTTATGTTGAAGTTATTGCTTCTTTATTTCTTCAACTGTTCTCCATAGTAGTTTCTCTCTCTAGCAGATCTTTTAAGACTTGGAACTTGTTGCGGAGAGCTATCTCGAGTCCGGTGAGTTTGTCTAAGTCTCAAAGGAAGAAAACATCAAACTTTTATAATGGGGCCTGCCCGGTTGTCCAATGCCACTTTGGCTTTAGTTCCAGCTTAACCGTCACCAGGTGGTGATCTAATGTCAGATCAGCTTCTCTTTTTATGCTTAGGTCTTCCATGGACTTTCTGAATCTTTTACTGATTCACACGTGATATATTTGGTTTGCCTTAGTGTGTCTTCTGAGACACATGAAGTTTTATGTATTCATTTGTGAGGGAAAACGATCCCGTGTTGTTGAGAACATTCATATGTACCACTCTCTCAACATTCTCGTTTCTTTCTCCCAGCCCATGTTGCTCCTTGATATTTTACTAGCTGATGTTTACAACACCGACCTTGTTATTTAAGTCCTGAATCAGGATGGTTAGATTTTTGGGGAAGTTCTCCGCGATGAACCGCAGTCATACAAAGCTGGAAATCATTGAAGACTGAGCAACACCGCATGTCATTTACTGCAACCCTTTCTTTGTTTTGAAAGATGGTTTAATGATCACGGTGCAACAAGATTCTCATTATATAAGCGCTGATCGTGTTTTTTGTAGAGCATCAGCGAGCCATTTTCTCCTTCAAGATCAGAATACTATAGCACCATTCCCGAAGCTGGTCTTTTCTGTTCAACTTTTCCAATGAGTTTCACTTATTCCAAGAAGACTAAGGTCCTGTCTTCTCATTTATACCACTGTTAGAATGATTATCACGGTCTCTCACATTTTTCAAACATTTCATGTGCTTATTTAGTTGTTGCGCTGATTATCAGAAGGGGCTGTTTGTGAGAAAAGTTATCTTTACGGGCTGAAATTGCAAATAAATGACTGAAATAAGTGAAAACCTGTTTGTTTTTTTCAACAATTTACGAAGATACTAGGTATTAGAAGATCATCTTATTTGGGATGTTGAATATTTGTTTGTCAACACCACTACTTAGAGTTTTGACCTTCGGTCCCGTTTAACTTTAGTTCTGAGATCATCGTGGTCAATGTCGATCCATAATAAGCATTTGGTGGAATATGACCATCCTATCAGAAGGCAAGGTGACAATGGACTTTGAAGTTGGTTTTGACAGCAGTGGGAGTGACTCTTCGTCTTTGTATAATTCCGACTCCGGAGTCAGTGTGGAGACTCCGGCTTCATGTAACACATCGGCGGCCTTCAATTTCGAACGTCCAGATGATGCTGAATATCTATACTGTGATCTACTTTCTTTCTATGAAACACATTCCGTGACAGTTATACAGGCGGTACAGTGTCTTTCTAATGTGGATATTGACATCAGTCTTAACGCATGTACTTATTTATTCAATTTATGCAGGTGTGGATACGCGTCATTTATCGCCCGTATATGTCCAGATGTTTTCTACAATGTAAAGATACCTGTATTTTGCCCTTCTTCTAGTAAGTACGTAGATGTAGTTCATTGCATGAGCGGCATTATAAACTATTTTTCACAGTGTCCAGATGGACTGGTCATGATAGTGCACAATGGAGGGCTTGATGTCATTAACGGGCTTCTGCTTTTCCCTTTTGAATCTGTTTTATACTTCTGTGTGACTGCCCTTCATAACATATTATTAAGTCACAAAACAGCTAAAGGTCTCATTAATCGAACATGCATTTCTAATCGTTTAATAAATCTTCTAAATTATTCTGTTGAGCACGTAAAATCAGACACACCGTATTCATTAACACCATCAAACTTTCAGAAAAGTATCAATCCAAAGTTCTTGGCAGTTCTCTGTGATTGTTTGTATATATTAGCATACAGATCTGAAAGTACGAAAAAAACGTTTAAGGAACAAGGTGGACTATCTTCCCTTCTCAAAGTTATCATGATCTCGACTTACGAAAAAGTTTTATGGACGGCTACCAGACTTCTTCGAGTTTTGTCTGCATGGATTCCCGTCAAATATGAAATAATTGCTCAAGATCCGCATTTGGATTTCTTTACTCATTGTTTAGAATGTCACTCATCGCGAGTAATAACAAACGCCCTATGGACTATGAGGAATCTTTCAGATATTGCCGTAAATAATATAACATCGGATGTCTCCGTTAATGTAGTAAGACAGCTTCTTCATCAACTGAGACTCAACATATGTAGTGATAGCTATGGAACTTACTATTCAACCAATACTGGAGGTGATACTCCTATGTCCCGGTGTGTTCTAGGAGCACTAGCAAATTTAACATGTAGGAATAATGCTGCAAAGTCCTACGTTGTTCGGGTAAGTCTTTGAAAAAAATTCCTTGAATCTTGTTCTTATTCACACTTTTAAATCTTTGGTGGTCTTTTACTTCCTCTAATTGATCAAGAATGGAGCGGTGGCCTAGTGATAAGACGTTCTATTTTCAAGTCCTAGGTCGAACGCCGCTTCACTTACCTCTATTTTGGTAATCTGGTAACATCAATGGCCTTGACTGTTAGTGTGGTTCATAACCAAGTGCTTGGAGAATGAGTTAATTGAATTCAATCTTAGAGATTTTTTTCTGAAACTGTAGCTTTAAATCACTTGACTATATAAGTTGGTTTAGTTGCATGATTTCACATGTATAGTATCATTATTCTAGAGTACAAATGTGTAACTACTGATAGTCCAAATAATACTAGCCTCCATTCGTTCGCGAGCAGAAATCCTTGAGGTTTTTGAATGTATCCAAAATCAATATGGTGGTTACATTATCTCATCCGCTCTAGAACCAATAACTTGATATTAATCAGCTAAGATTCCCGTGTCCTTTAACGCTTAACAAAAGTCAAGTGTGTAACATTATCCACCAATGTTAGTGGTCAAAACTTTAGTCACTTTAATAGTTCTGTAGTTCCTACATTACTTACACACCTATTTAGTCTTGTCGGCTAGTTGAAACCGACATCTTACCAGAGTTTTGTTTCCGCATATTTTCCGCTTCATTTCACCAACGCTTGTTAAAAAGTCTTCTTGCGTGTACCTTCAGTATCCACCAACCCAGTTATCTCACCGGACGTCCGATTTCTGTCCTTTCTCGCAAAGTGCACCTCCACCTAAAGGCAATGAGTAGGATCTCCCTTCCGAAGGTTGTATAAGTGTATCCCTGGTAGGAGGGTAGATTTTCATCAAACTCAGAACAGTTGAAATGCCCTATTTCTACCAACCTCGTCACGCGCCATGTCTAAGTATCCAAGAGTAAAATCAGTTGACGTTACGTAAGCCTTTTCCAGACGGTCAGGCTGTTTGCAACACGGATTTTGTTCAAGGAAAGGATGTACAAAATGTCATAAATCTCCCAAAAAATATTAGCTGTAAGCCCTATGTATTGACTAGATGATTTTAAAACCCTCAACAATCACTGCATAACAGTGTGCTGTGGTTTTCAAATGTTGAATGATAATGACCTAAATCACTGTTTCTGGACAATATAATTATATGTGCCGTGGTGGCCAGTATGCATAATAGTATACTTTGTCATTGCTAAATATTAGTCCATTCTGTTAATTTCCGTAGGTCTTTCTGAAGCTCTTCATTGTCCTCTTCGTTTTAACAAGACTGATACTGACAGAAAGCTGGTACTGTCAATAGCATTCCAGAGTAGTAACACTAGTCCCAAGATTGTACTTTGGAGTGCTCCACTAAGCACTTCCCACCAGAGAACTTGAATTTAAACTTTTGTTTGCGTACTGATAAAAATTGGTTTTTTATGGAAATAAATTTATCTTGATTCTGATATTACCGAAATGGATTAAGTCTAGTGGGTTGGACTCTATTGAAAGCCTTAGTGAAGTCGGCGAGAAATATTTCTATGGATAGCTTATGATCTTTCAGAACGTAACGGTTTTCCATTGCTACGAATAAGTTTGTGATAAATTAATAACCCTCCCTAAAAATAATTTACTTTGGGAAAAATATCATGTTTTCAGTAAGATGCTTAAATAATTCTTTGCGAATGATCTTTAAAATCTTGTTAAGTACACTATCTGGTAATTTTCAAGACTCCCAGCTATCTCTTTGAGACAGGACTTATTTATTTATTTATTCGATTACAAATATTGGTACAAAGGGGCACCAAATACATACACAAGTCACTTGATTTGTGTGTGTTCTGTAATACTGTCCGGGTGCCCAAACCAAAAGAGGTGATTTTCTTAGGGGACCATGTCCGGAGCATTCACCCTAAGGTTCGATCCACAAGGCGGTGGAGCGATGTCAGGAGATGCAGTTCCATGGTATCCGGTGACCAATAACTGGTTTGCACACCATTTGTTCTTTCAGGATCCTGGAGCTCATGTGCACCATTGATTTGGAATGAGGATTTTCCAACTCTCCGAGATGGATATTCCATGTCCATTAAAGCGTTGGACATTCGCCTTTCATCCTCTCAATTTCGTAAACAACAGTAGTTCCGTGATAAGACAGTAAGTGAGTAGAAGTTCCGTGGTAGTGGTTGTATGCACGTGGCGATGTAAGAACACTTCAAGAGCGAGAGTTCACTCTCCCCACTCTAGATCGTGCCAGGGTATTTAGGGACTGAATTACAAATGTGTAATTATATCTATATTCAAATAATATTGATTACATATTATTTATATTTCTCACTTATGAACTTCTATTTTTATTTTATATTTTCAGCATAACGGAATTGATTTAATCATGCAAATATTGTATAGTGAAATAAGTGGACAAAAAAATTATTATCATACATTTTGTGATAATCTTAGTCAATCTATGTTAAATATGTCTATTCAATGTAAAAATGATAATGATCATTCTAATATAGTTAAAAAATGTTTAAATAAATTACATAACAATGATAATAATAATAATAATAATAATCACTACCATGTAACAAAATCTCCAATCATAGCAACAACAACGACAACAGTATCCTCATCATCATCATCATCAATAATCAATAATCAATCAATAAAACAAAAAAATGAATTACATTTATTAAATTATTTTTCTTCTTATAATAATAATAAATTAAATAATTTATTAAATATATCAATATTTAATTCAACATTAGATTTAATTGAAGCAGGTTTACGTTGTTTATCACATTTAACAATTGGACATATGGAATTAATAAATGTTTATCATTATTTTATACATCAACGTATTGCATCCAAATTAATTATATCAATGGGTAATATATATTTACCATTATTATTATCATTTCCATTTGATCAATATATTAATTTATATAAAGATACTACTATTAATACTACTACTACTAATACTAATAATAATAGTAATAATAATAATAATAATAATAATAATGATTGGGAATTTGATTGTTTAACCCAAATACTTCAATTAACAAAGACTTGGACTATATTAGTACGAAATTTATGTATAAATTATTATAATAATGATGAATTCACATCTATAACAAAAGCAAATTCATACGATACATTATTAAATAATAATAATAATAATAGTAATAATAATAATACAAATCTATGGCCTAAGCATTTACGTTCACAATTTCGTCATGGTATTCATAAATTAGTACAAAATTTAAGGCATTTAATAAATACAGTAAGTTTTGACATTTTATTATGTATGTATGTGGTTATTTTTGTTTAATACTATCCATTGTTTAATTGTTCACACTTGATGTATTGTTAACTCATACAATTACAGACTATTTGGTTAGAGTCCACATGACTATCGGTCAAACCAAAACGTGGCATCAGTGCCTGAAGTCACTAACTTCTAGTCTGAGCCATGTTGGTAGATGCAGACTACTTGGTTGGGGTCCGCGTGACTATCGTAACCAATGGTTGGAGACTCTTGGTGACATGGCTCAGAATCGATCACATTGGCGTCGGTGTATACACTCTGTGTCTTCCCTTAAACTAAGAGATTAAAATCGCCTCATATCTTTCTTTCTACGAACCAATTCTTTCTTCTTGTACTATATCTCTATATACAATCTTTCTCTTATATATTACTACCTTTGACCTAACCACTGCTATGAATCCGGTGTTCATCTTGTTGTGCTGATGCGGTATGGCAACCTGGACCGATGCACATATGTGCCTGGTCCTACGTTGTAGCTGACTGACTATCGTAACTAATGATTGGAGACCGTGGGTGACATGGTTCAGAATCTATCACAATGGTGTAGATGTATACACTCTTTATCTTCTCTTAAACTATGAGATTAAAATTGCTTTTATCTTCCTTTCTTCATGTACTATATCCTTATACATGATCTTTCTTTCATATATTACTACCATTGAAGTAACCACTTCTATGAATTTGGTGTTCATCTTGTTGTGCTAATGAATGAGGTCTGGCAAATTGGACCGATGCACATATGTGCATGGTCTTATGTTGTAGCTGACTGAATGACAATTACATTGTAAATTATTAGTATGAAACTTTTTTTCATATTCATGGTATAAGGGGGAACTGAATACATATGTACCACACAAGTTACTTGATTTATGTGTAAACTGTGATACTCTACCGGGTGTCCAAACCGAATCAGTTGGTTTTCTTAAGGGGTCACACCCCAAGTCTTTGACTTAAAGGTCTAATCCACAAGGCAGTGGAGCAAGGTAAAGAGGTGTAGTCCCATAGTAGCCGGTGACCAACGATTGGTTCATACACCAATTTCTTTCAGGATCTTGGAGCCCATGTGCACGATTGGTTTGAAATCACAGTTTTCCAAACTTCAACCAACCTGGTTAATGCGCTGGACATTCGCTTTTCGTTTTCTCAATTTCATAAACAGCATCCCCGCCGCGGGAAGGTGGTGAGTATTACTTCCCTGTCAATGGTTGTATACGCATGGCCATGTGAGAGCATTTCGAGATGTAGAGGTGACTCTCCCCACCCTCGGTCTTACCAGGGCATTTAGGAGCCTTAAATTATTACGGTGATAGATGTAAGTTTATTGACGAATACAGTGTGTATTACAGATTAGGTGTTACATTTTAATAGTTAACTAATTTAAATATTTACAAAAAACTATAAATCTCATCATTAGCTTCACCCATATTTTTTTTAAAATCTGAATAGTTTTTTCTAACATTTTACCATCATTCATTATCAACATATTAGTTTACCTTAGAAATACAGAAGAAACCTTTTAACATTAAAACTAAACTATTCTATTTGTTGGGTTTTTGATTGAAATCATGAACCGATTGATGTTAGACCACCATTGAAAACCTGGAAGCACTAGACGGCTGTTTCGTCTTATTGTGGGACTCCTCTGAGTTCGAACCTCGCGAGCGAGATCGTGAGTGCGCACTGCTGAGGAGTCCTACAGTAGGACGAAACGACCGTCTAGTGCTTGCAGGTTTTCAATGGTGGTCTAACATCAATCGTTTCGCGATCTCAATCAAATATTTAGTAATCTCCACAACCTCTACACTGATATTCTATTTATGTTTCTGTTGTTTTTATTTGGCACCGTTTTTCTTTTATAAACAATCGTTTTTATATCTGAAATAATTGAAATGAATACCCTTGTGTTGTATAATAAGTATGCTATTTAGATATCAATAAATGAAACAAGGTATCTTTTGTTGTTATTATTGTTGTAATGAGTTAATTGAAATTCAGAAATGAAATAAATCAAGTATGTCTGTTTATTTAGCCTATTATACAAGGTATAAAAGGACGCTTTCTTAAAGCCAGAAATTTAGTAGGATATTTTACAAACCTATTACTGAGATGTTGACCCTTAATTAAATATGAATTAAAAATTGGCATCTACTTTTCGGCAGAGTAAAACTACATAGTGGGTAGTTGTGTAAAATCGTGTTTATCATCACAAGATATATTAACTTAGGAAATAGAAAAAAAGCATCTCATTAAGCAAAGGTGGCTAGTAGTGGAATCCAGGACGCGCGTCTCGTCTTCTTTGGGACTCGAACCCAGTATCGTTCGCTTCAAACGCTATCGCGTTCTCCACTTAGCTATTGAGTCCTAATAGCCACCTGCTTGTACAATGCGGTGAAGTTTAAATGCACATGATGTTGTTTTACTTGTATCTTCCCATTGATCAGTCACTTGTCGGCATATATGCATCATGTTCGGATTGTCTCGATATAGCCTTGTGTCACAAGCTTTTTAAACAAAGGTAGATAGTGGCTAGCAGTGGAATCCAGGACGCGCGTTTCGTCCTATAACAATGGGAAGATACAAGTAAACAATACTAAGTGAATTTAAACTTCACCTCATTATCCAAGCAGGTGACTATCAGGACTCAGTAGCTAAGTGGATAACCCAATGGCGTTTTAAGCGAACGGTACTGAGATTCAGGCACATCTAGCTGACGAGTCCCAGACAGGACGAAACGGGGATCGAACTGGATTCCACTGCTAAACACTATCCATTTTTGCTTATAGTAGCATTACTTATTACCCGCTTACTGATCAGCTACTTAATGAATCGGTTTATGACTTTATATTTCATTAGTTTATATCTTGAAGCATAACAATATCCTGAATTATGTGACACCAAATATTTTCATCATGCTTGTGGGAATTCATTAAAATACGAACGACTACCAAGAAATAAATCTTCATACATTAAAGTAGTTATAAAACGGAATGAAAATTAGACGAAAAGACACTACTTATTTTATTAGCTTATTTCTTTCATTCATTTACATAACCTTATGAATGAACGAACCACTTTGATCTCTCTGAGTTAAATATTCAATGTCAGTGTATTTACAAAATGTATAGACATATAAATGTACAGACTAAAACACTTATCGTTCTTTCTAATTTGTCTAGTCACTCATATTATTGAAGAAAATTATAAGACACATTTGTTGTCGGCATCTTGACACGTTAGTGTTTCCTCTCTCTCTCTCTCTCTCTTCGTATCTATGTATATGGAGAGAGAGAGAGAGAGAAATCCGAAACCACATTGTTTACCTGAAATCCAAATAAGATTTAGATCAGGCAGGGCTGACGAATATTGAATATTCGTTTAATGATTTAAATCTTGTAGAATCTTGTAGACTAAATGGATAATGAGGTCATAAAATGGAGAAAAAAATCTATATTATACAATGCAACTGCTATAGGATACATCTTAAAGTGATTATATACTGACTGAAAGTGTAATATCATGATATTTCATTCAAATCTATTACACTTTAGTCTAAGTGACTGGATAGATTTAACTGACTTTCATAGGATACCTGTAACTTAGAATTTTTTTTAGTAAATGTTGAGTAAATAATAATTTTCCTAAACAATACACCAACTTATAAGCATATTGGTCGTTATGGAAGTCTGATCAGCCCTAATGGGTTGGTGTCTGACGAAATCTCAGCACGGATTCGGAAAGCTCGATTGGCTTTTGCCAACTTACGTCACCTATGGCGAAGGCGAGATATCCGTCTATCAATAAAGGGACGAGCATACTGCACGGCAGTCCGTTCTGTTCTACTTGACGGCTGTGGAACATGGCCATTAAGAGTAGAAGATACTGGTAAGCTACTAATATTTGACCACAGATGCCTTAGAAATATTGCTGGTGTCTGCTGGGATCACCGGGTAAGTAATAGTGAGGTTAGACGCAGGGTATTAAGGAATTATGGTAAATCAGTTGATGAGGTTATGAATCTTCATGGACTGAGATGGTTGGGCCACGTGTTACGTATGCCTGAACACCGATTACCACGACGTGCAATGCTAACCGGTGTTGGAGATGGTTGGAAGAGAATTAGGGGCGGCCAAACCAAAACGTGGCATCAGTGGTTGAAGTCACTAACTTCTAGTCTGATCCATGTTGGTAGATGCAGACTACTTGGTTGGGGTCCGCGTGACTATCGTAACCAATGGTTGGAGACTCTTGGTGACATGGCTCAGAATCGATCACATTGGCGTCGGTGTATACACTCTGTGTCTTCCCTTAAACTAAGAGATTAAAATCGCTTCATATCTTTCTTTCTACGAACTAATTATTTCTTCCTGTACTATATCCTTATATGCAATCTTTCTTTTATATATTACCACCATTGAATTGATTACTTCTACGAATCTGGTGTCCATCTTGTTATGTAAATGAGTTATGGCAACTTGGACCGATGCATATATGTGCCTGGTCCTACGTTGTAGCTGACTGACTGACCTTGGTCGTTAGATAGAAACCAATTTCATACTTGAAATCTCGTTAACATTTGACTTCCATAGGTTGATAAATCTTCGAATTTTTCACATTTTAACAGAGCAAACGTCAATTTTGTATTGTCTAGTAATTGACATCCTTACTACTTGAATGCTTTAATGTCGAATTTATTGTCTTTAGATATATGTTTCCTAAATTAACTTCATGATACAGTTATTTGAACTTAGTAACTTGAAATGGTGGGGAAGATTTGTAGCTCAGGTGGATGATTTTGATAGAGTTTTGTTCTCTGAGTTTGATGGTTTGGTCCAGCTCGGAGAACAAAACTTAGTAAATTTAGTAAAGTGAGTTCTCTTAATGTTCGTAGGCTAGCCACTAAGTGTATGTTCATGAATTTCTTATCGACTATTTTACTTAATATGATACCGGTTCAA